TTCTGAAGATGCCAGCCACAATTGCCGATGAAACATCAGGAAATCTGTCCTCTAGACCATGGTCACTAAACCCTGAAGCCCAACATGCCCAACATTCAAAATTATTATTTTACTCTCCTCCAGGTATTATTTATTTATTTTATTTATTTAACAAATTTATTGAGCTGTCCATCTACCAACAGAACTTCGGGTAGTGATCAAAAAATAAAACATAATACACCATCAAATTAATTACATGGTCCACTGATTCAGTTGAAAATAATTGTGAACTTTGTCTGAAGTTGAACAATATTAACTTATTAATGCTAAGCATAGTCTTCTAATTTAATTAATTTTAATTAGATTAATTAATTAATCTAATTTAATAGTAAAATGACTTTCTTCATCTGATATATCTTCTTCAACTTATAAAATTCTGTAACATCCCATGCAATATCCCAAGGACAAAACTACAACTTGTTAGGAATATGAACCACTTTGGAGATGAAGGAGAAAAGATGCTTTGGAGGGAACATGCACCAGGTACTTGCTGGTACCTCCTTAAAGAAGCTGCAACTTTTCCTGAACTTGCACAATAGCTACATAACCTCAGGAAACTATGTACTGGAGGTAAGGAGTTGTTGATAGTACAGGTAGTTCTTGTTTAGCTACTGCAATTGGGACTGGCAACTTGGTTGTTAAGCGAAGTGGTTGCTAAGGGAAACATCACAATTTTACTTCAGCTTTTCTTTGCAAGGTCATAAATGCGGGCATTGGTCACAAAGTTACTTTTTCACCACTATCATAACTGCAAACAGTCACTGTCCAAAGCAATTGCTAAACAAGGAGTACCTGTATGCCCACGCCTGCTCTGAAGTGTCTTGCCATAACTTTTTGGCACATCCTTACCTCAAAAATGTGTTTTCCTGAGATCATATTACCATGGAAGTCCAGGAAAAGTTGTAGCTTCTTTAAGGAGACATGGACAGGGTTTGCATGAATGGCCATGTTCTCTCCAAAGTACTTATTCTGTTTTGGATTCTAAGTGCTGCACATTCCTACCATTTACATATGACTCCTCCATTGAAATGTTATCTATTGGAAAAATGTGAATCTCCTCCTAAAAAGGAATTTAGGTCTCAGTTCCCTTTTTTTAAATATAGGCAATATTTGTTGCAAATGTTTAGAAGGGATCCCCAACCCCCTAACATTCCATGTTGCACATAAACATGTCCCAAAAAATAACTATGAATACTAGAAACATAGTAAAAGAGGGAAGCATAGCCAAAACAGTAAACGTTCCAATGAAGGAGGGGAATGAAAGAACAATGCTAAAATAATAAAAAATAATAATAAAATAGTTATAGTTATTATCTGTACTTCCAAGCCAACA